TCTTGCAGGCCCCCTCAAAACAGACTGTTAGCCATCACAGGCCCTGGTGGAGGTAGAGGGCGTGGGAGCTTATTGCTAAGGTAAGGAGCCGCAAAAACGGGCGGTGGGGTTTCTTCCACCCTTTACCCCGGCGTTGGTTTGCTGCCCTTACACCGGGGTGCTTTATATTTCTCACCTCATCCCGTTGCTCCTTGTACTGCTTTTACAGTGAGCAGGCAGCAAAGCTGACCTACGGGGCATGTTGGGTTTTACGTCACCGCCTGAAATTTAAAGTACCTTCTCATTCTGAGTTGTAAGAAGTTTAACCTGGTGGTTTTCCTTAACCCTTTTGGCTGTTAGCCTGAAAAATAAGGGGAAATGTCGAAGTTAAGGGAAGTGTTATGTGGTATCTGGGACATCGTCTCTTTGAAATTGTTCAAAATCAATCTCTCAGTAATTAAGAAACTGGTAGCTGTTCCAGGAAGAATAAAAAGAGTTGAAGTCGACAGGAATTTTAAAACAGATATAGATAAAACCTCTAGTGTTTGGTTGTGGGTTTTCCTTTCTTCCTACCCCCCCAAGTAGAATGAAATGGCCAGTTACTGTTCAGTAGTGCTTTCTCAATGGAGTATGTAGTGGATTTTTTGTTTTGTTGAATTCCAATATTAAACTGCTGGTTAAGGCTTAATACATCTTGAAAACTGTTGCGAATGTGAACACTTGAACATAGGGGGGCTCCTTGTTCTAGTGTAGCTACCCAATTAAATAAGTGCAGAAATTTAAGCTTAAATTAGTTGGTCTACAAGTACTATGTACTATTGCATTAGTAACAGTAAATGATGATAGAGCTGAGTAAAATTTATTGTTACATCATGACCATAAAGCCAAAATACGGTTTGATTGTGCAGGCTTAAGGTGGACATGAGGTTAGCGAAACTTGTTTGGAGATTACAAGTGTTTTCTTTTTAGGCGTGGATTCTCTGATAGTGGAGGAGGACCCCCAGCCAAACAGAGGGATCTTGAAGGGGCAGCCAGTAGGTGGGTGCAAAAACTGATGCGGAGAACTTGCTTTATCAAAATGGGCATTTATAACAGTACATTTAAAATACTTAGATTCAGTAACTGTTAATAACTGATGACTTTCACTGTCTTCTTCAGAGATTACATATTCAAGACTTTTTGGAAATGTATTTGGATGATAGCAATTGACTGTGGTGAAATTTTTTTTTCCCTATATAGCAATATAAAGATTATAGCAATAGTATAAAGATGTGGCAATACAAAGACTCTTGGCATTTTCTGTTTTACTTGGTGTGCAGTCTGCTATATTATGTTCTGCTTAGTAGCCCAGATTTGCTTTACAGTAGACACAAATTGAATTATGACTGAGATCCTCTGTTCAGTGTATTGAATGCGTACAATGTGACCATAGACCAGATCTTGAGCTTTCACATCTAGATGCAGATCCATCAGAGGTGACTGATTACAGTGAGCTTCATTCTATGGGCACTTATGTGCAATGGTAGTTCTTGACTAAAGCAGGGCTTGCTTTGAATTTTTGATTTAACGCAAAATGCATGCTGTGAAACGACTTTACCAGTCATAAAGTGCTGTGCCACAAAGCTGAGAGTGAAAGCTGAAAATGACTTATTTAACACACTGCCTAGTTGTGCTTCGATAAAGCTTCAGTCCATCCAAGTTCTCAGGTCCTAAGCACTCTGCCCCTCCTCATCTGTTTTCTAGGTATTTGGCTAGATAACTTAAATAGCATTTCCTGGTTGAAAAATCATACCAACCTCTATATCTGGATGCATTTAAATCTGTCTCACAATCCCCTTAACACCAGTAGCCACTTGAGAGGCTCTGGAA